ACAGGGGTCAGCCACCTTTCTCAGTGACAGAAGAGCCCAACACTGCGTGTCTTACTATACCAACAGATCTAGAGCATGGCAAAAAAAACATTCAACACTGAATGTTGTCTTAGACAAGAACCTGTAGCTCTGAAAAGCCTGAAATGGATCAAGCTAATCTAGGAATGCAAGAAGTCACAGCACAGTTTGGTGGGTTTTGAAATAATTTGAAAAGACAAAGACCCTCTGAGAGTGGAGAGAAAGATATACAGTATGTTCTCCCACTCCCCTCTGAGACATGAGTACATCTGAGGGCATTTTGCCAAACTGAACAAGTTTTCTATCGCGTTTAGGACAAGTGTACAACAAATATTTAAATACAAAATGTAAGAGGGCATTCTTGATGTAAGAATATTTTAAAAACCAGCACAGACTATAAATTCTGATACCTGGGTATATGAAGTGGTCTGTCCTCTTTCTTCAACATGAAGAAAGCTAACTAGGTTTAGACAAAACCCTACACAGACACGTACTATTTGCAGTCTTTTTCGCCACCTGCTCTCTGCAAGACTGCCCATCCTGGGAAGGAATTGACACAAAACAAACTTTACTTTCAGTGATGCCTGTAAACACAGCTTTTATTGTCTGCGAAAGCTATACTGCACCAACGATAGCGTTTAGACTTACAGTAAAGAGCAATATGAAAGACAATTTCGATGGCAATCTCAAGTGACCTATGAACCTCTGCTGTAAACACTGTACATCAGACAGGACTGCAGCCTGCTTATGGAAACAATGTCCATAAAAATTTCTAACCACACAGAGCAGCATTTTTAACCACACAGAACTGCAAGAGAAAATTGCTCAGATAAACCCCAGGGCACCACCTCTGCAGACACACATTAGTGAGGACTCTCAAGCAAACTAGCTTTGTGCCCAGTGCTGATGTCCGCACTGAAGAAGAAGACTGGGGCTTGTGTAGAAGTAAGCAAAATGCCTGTTTGCTTGTGTTTTGTAAGAGAGGGGTGTGTTGATGTCTCAGGGCCGTACTGTTTTGTTGTTTCTGTAGTAAGTTCAAGCTCAGAGGCCACTGGACTGTGGACGTGAGAGCCCATGGGTGTTGGGGTGGTGGCACTGTGCTGTTACTGGATGGCAGTGGTGGTCAGCACAGTCTCTTATTGCCACCAGACCCGACAGCTCTGCCCAGGGGGAAGCCAGGCTGTGATGCCACTTCACCGAGTTTTCATGGCACCGGTCCCCCGACCGCTGAGATGAAACGATGTTTCATATCACATACATAAATAACTGAAAATTAAAAATCAGACTACCAAACTAATGTGTACTGTTGATTTTGATTTGCTTAAATCTGTTGGAATTTGTCACAGCTTACATGGAGTAAAACTGCTTTCTAACTTTATTCTCACAATAACAGAGATATAAATGTACTCGGAGCCAGCAGATAAGCGTCTTGATAGATAAGAGCACATCACCAGGCCAGATCACGTAACAGTTCACATCATGCAGCTCCAATGATCACACGGTACTGAATTACTGTCCTGTCCAGTGGCTCAGATGTAGAAAGAATCCAGGACATGTAAGCAGGGCCTTGCTTTGCCCCTGATTACCCCCAGAGCTCTAAAAGGCCTTCATTTCCATCCGCAGACTGGCCCTGCAGTTTGTTTTTTGCCTACAGCTGTTTAAAAATGTTAAAATTTAAAAAACATTAGAAAACCACAACAATAAAAAAACAGCCGCATTCAAACTCAAACTCAACTCAAGAAGTCATGACATTCGTTATCAACATGTCTGATTTGTTTGTCCTACGTCTACATCTAATTTTGCAGAACAAAGACAGAAATCAGGGTGCAGAATCAGAATCTTCCAGTGTTCTCCCCCTCCTCTGCCTTTCAGACTGCGGTTCTCAGAGACTGGGAGACACCTACACGGTGCCCTGAATGACTGTCAGTGCACACAGCAGCAGCACTGAGGGAGGCAATCAGACAGCACAGTCTATCTGGGCCCACACAGTCT